TATTGATAAGTGGCCAGGTCAGTAGTAAACCGTGGAACTGTGGGAGCTGAGAATCAACCAAATAAGGACATTTATTGTAGGTTTCCCCTTCAGGGTGTTTAGAAGTGGAGGCACTGTTGATATTACACAGCAAATATTATTTTACACACTCCACCAACTGTCTAATGTTTGACTATCCCTCAAGCTAAATAACACAGTATTATTGATGTTATTACAGGTCAATAGGTGTGCAAACACTTTGGTGTGTTTACATAGGCTTTGGACAGCGATTACCTGTCGCATCTGTAACTTACACCATTAATCAGCACTCCTACCTGGAGAAGGTGAACGAATAAATCCATCTGCTTCTCATGGCTAATATCGTTAGCTCCTCTGTGCAGTGACAGTACACTCATTTTACACATTTTACCTTTATGTTTCCAGTTATCCAAGTCATTAAATTGTCTAGTAGTAGTAAGTCAAGGATATAAATGAATCTGTATTAGAGTCAGGCCTGGTTCATCCAGTGGGTTTTATAGGCGCGCACTCAGGGGCCTGGGCCACTAGGGGGCCACCACAAGTAATTATGAGAAAATCTGACCAGCTGTTTTAATTCGAGATAGGGAAAAAAATAAATAAATAATTTTGTTATAGTGTTACAGCCAATCAAAATCCTGATGCTCTCCATGTCTTTCCTAAACGTCTGTTTCATTTTCTCCACCAATCACTGCTTAGCAACCATTATACCATCGCCATTACCTCGGTCAAGCTTTCAGTTCTTAGTGCTCTTTTGAAGATACCTTAAATTTGAAACTCTAGATATTCAAAAAAATGTGCCTGGGAGATCTGTGAAACTGAGGTCTCTTAATTCCAGTATACTGGACAGTGAAATCCATTTCAGTTGCTGAAAAAACAAAATTATCCCCAAATTTTTAGAACTTCATCTATTGTCACTACTGTCTTTTTCTGCATATGTAAGTTTATGTGCAATTATATGTCTTGCTACTGAAACACTGCAGTTTCCCTCTGGGATCTATCTATCTATCTATCTATCTATCTATCTATCTATCTATCTACCTACTGAGAATGAGTCATGTGGAAGGTGGTCACAGAGTGGTCCCAGGTTCAGAAGGTCATAAGGCTGTTATGACAGCTGTTGCTAGTAACATCCATAAAGCTCTGAGAATCCAACCCTTGCGTTGCAATACTATGACGTAAAAAACGTGAGGCAGGTAAGTGACTCATGGTACCGAGCCAGTTGCCCCATACTTTTGATGGAGCACATTATTTAATTCATGTTATTTAAATTTGGCTGTAAAAAGCTGAAATTGGCCATGAGACTTGGTGATTTGTGTGTCCACTGCTCTACACCTTTAGTTCCTTTCTGACTGCAGAACCTGAAGGACAGTCAAGTATATAGTATATAAGTATACAGCCAGTATACCCTAATAGGGAAAGCACTGCATGTCAGCCTATGCTGAGGCTAATTTGCAGAGGCTGCACCACAACTCCAAGATGCCCTCTAGTGGTTAAAAAAAGGATAGCAGAGCAATACAGAGCCATTACTTGTTATTTTAACTCACTGAAAAGAATATATGTATATATACTTGCATAGTGAGTCCTACAACGGCAAAGTCTAGCTTCGGTCTTTGGCCCGTCTCATGAATCTTTTCACTGTAACATCAATGTAAACTACAAACGTGTGTATTATAAATCCACTATTCAGAGTGTGTTATGAAGTCCATGTTATACTGAAATGCAGAGACATTAAACAGACTGCTGAACATATTGTAAGTTGTCTTTTATTTTGTAAGACACTTAAAGAACATTCCCAGACTGGGAACAAAGTTATTATTTTGGTTCTTAGCAGTTTTTTTTAACCTCCTAGCAAATTTGACAGACAAATGACAACAAATTACAAATAGACTACAAAATAACAAAAATATTACAGTCAAGAAATAAACAATACATTTACAAACCATATTTCATATATAAAACAAAGCAAGCTTAATAAATATGACAAACACAAAAAATAGAAGTAAACAAGTAATGCACAATATTAATTTTGGGCAACTTTCCAAAAAGTACATTTAGGAGGATTTGGTTTTAGTAGATCATCAGGAAGAATTTCGCTTTAACACCTTTAAACAGTATTAGTAACACAACTCAAATGTTAACCTGAGGTTTTGTCAGACATCAGGCAAATCCTAGTCTAAACCCAAATCCTGTAAGATGTTCAGTGTTTTGTACGAGCTCCAAAGGTGTGGTTACTAGTAAGTGCTGATCTAGGATCAGGCTATTCTCCTTAAATCCTAAAACTGAACCGCGTACTGAGCTGATCGTAGGTCCACAGTTGTGTCTTGATAACGCTGCAGTGTTTTTTGGAGCTCCATAGCAAAATCAAGACTCTTCCCACTAATGCTAAAGCTGTTCACTGTAAAAACCCGGCAGTGTTCTTCAGTCTTAAAGCTAGTCAGTAACATTAAGTACTCATAAAGCACTTCCATTCCACTTCATGTATGGTAATCCAAGCAATCTTTACTTACACTTTGTTGTTATTTCATGTCACCCCAGCTTTTTTATGTTTTAGTTGTTCCTTATTGAGCTACAATCAAGCACTAGACTGCATTAGCTCTACCACACACATATAAACACAGATTAAGTCATCACTGCTGCTTTAAACATCAATGTAATTAATACTGGTCCTATTTTTTTTTAACGTAGCCTCTATTTAGCAGCTACTCAAGTCATCTAGCATGTCACCCGAGGAAGATAATCAAATAGTCATTATTTTGGTTCAGGCTGTAGTCAACATACAGCGCACATTCACACTCAGAAACATGTACCATTCATTCACATAGACATGATATTCATAAACGTTAACTTACACTCACACAACCAGAAACATACAAACACTTTATACAAAGTAATACAGTCATCATGTGAACCGCTTTACTAGTTACGCCTCTTTAACAACTGGCAACACTTTACTTTGAATCCTCCAACATAACACTGACATAAACGTGTTTTAAACATGTCTTATGCTGTCATTAGTAGTCATAACATATTTTATTCAGTAACATAACAGTGTGATGTTACAATTACCAAAAAATATCATTACGTTATAATTTTTAATGTCTTGAAAGCTTATGTCACTTGCTAATGTTTGCTAATGTATTCTAGTTGGTCTTCACAACATCAAATATTATGCACAGTACAAAAAAAAAAAAGAGTCTGGCAGCAGGTGTGTTAATTAACAGTAAAGTGTGTTTTCTTAATGACGATGATCTGTAAAATTACAGTGCTTTAATTTCTTATAAATACTGCCTTTTACTGTTTCACTACTTCACATAGTTTTTCTCCAATACAGTATTTTACCATAATAATAACAGTAATAACTTGGCTGGTTTATTTATGTGTATGTAATCTTTTTTTTCTAAAATTGACCACTGACCATTAAATATTATAGTATTTTGACAGAGATTTTTTTAACAATGTCATTACAATTTACAATAATGGTAACAAGACACTTATATTACTGAACAAAATCTGTTATTACAGCATATCTCATCTGCCATCACATGTTTATGACACAGTTATGTGAATGTTACACAGGGTTCAAGTAAAGTGCTACCAATCACATGAATTGTGCAACTGCAGCCCGAGTCTCAGTTCTGCTCTCCAGGCCTAAACGAATGCAGGCCGACTCCACATGACCACAACGTATGGGTGGCATTTGAAGGGACGCTACCACGAATCGCAGAAGAGTCATCTGAAGTCTAGCTTGAGAGGAGACTCTGTTAGAGGGTATGAAACTGCGGGTGAAATGAAATGTCAAAGGAGAACAGTGAATGAAGAGTAACAAACAAAAGGAACACTGAACTGAACAAGTATCCAATGCTTTTTTTTAAGCTCTCCTTGAAGGAAGTGGACGTTCAGGGAAATCCAAGGTGCCGTGGTTTAACTGCATGCTCTGTGAGTTTCTAATTTATCTAAATTCAATTCAGTTCATTTCCATCCAATACTTCCTCAGCTCCAAGTGCACAAATGAGGCAGATCTGCTTCATTCATTCCGCTGCCTCATTCACTTTCCTTAGAGCTCCCCCTCTTGGTCAGCATCCGTTATTCCCTTAAAGCTTACCTCCACCCACTTCAAAAGCTACTTGTGTTACAAAGTGCAAACTGTTTTTGAGCACGTGTCTTTCCCTCTCCGGTACAGGAAGAGTGCAGAGCGGCTCGGCAGAGAAGGGACAATGACTCCTTGCTGTAGAGGGAGAGGAGAGGCCTGAGAGACATGCTCATTGCTTAGAGTGCATACAGGTGGTGAGGAATTCAGTCCTACTAGGGGAACCTGGTGAAGCTGGCATCTGCTGGAATGGCCATGTCTACACTTCCCTACAGAAAGTCCAGAAAGAGACAGTCAGAAAGTTAGACAGTTAGTTAAAAGTCAGTTGTGCTTTTAAAAGGCCAAAGTTCTACATTTGTCTTGTATTTTTATGTACTAAAAAAGGACATAATTCATCTGTATGTGACCATTTTCCAACTTCTCTCTCTCTTTATTTGTCACTGTGGCTTTAAGACAGATATATGAACTATGTAAATTGCTTGTCATCCCCACACTGTGCCTTACTCAAAAAGCGCTCTAGGCGAAAATAAACTGAACCAACTCTTCAGGCTGAAATATTCAGTGTTGTCAGAAAAAAATTAATGTCAGCCACTCCTTTCAGATACAGTGATATATTTGCTTCCTACCCCCCCCCCCCACACACATCTTCCACCTAATAACTGTAGGCTGAATGTGAGGATGTGATATGTAAAATATGCGACATCATGTCTGTAATGAATTCAAAACAGTATTTTTGAAACTTTAATAATAGTTAATTATAGTTTAAGTTAGCACATCCAACCATTCAAAAAGCAAGGAAAATTAAGCTTTTCCCAGGTTTTCAGATAGGGGTCCAAGCACCGTTATAATGAGAATGATGTGACAGTTCATTAGAATTGAGACTCAGACACACTACTTACGAGGCAGTGAGTGTAGAGTTGAGCACCAGTGTGGTGCGTATTCTGTACAACTGCGCCAGCGTGAGCTTCTTGTGTTGCTGTGACTTTCTTCCACTGTGTGCCTCCTCCTCTGATGCTCTAGGGGGCTCCAACTCTCCGTCTGAGCCACTGCAGCTCAGGCCCTTGCTCTCATTGTCCTGGGACTGCCGTGCCTTGACGCGCCTCAGCGTGTCCTTAAGCACGCAGGCAGGCAGGCTGTATGACAGGCGATCACTCTCCGCCCTTTCTCTGCCTGTCCGGTGTGGTGACGCGTCAGGGGGGGTCAGTTCAGTCAAGCTTCTGCTGTAGGCCAGACCCTCAGTCATTTTGGACCTCCGGCGGGTGTCCGAGACCTGAGGATGCACAGAACATATTCTTTGTTAATTGTTATCGCAACTTCAGGCTACAATAGGCAAATGAGCCATCAAACAACTCATATAATTGTTCATGTGCTGTAAGGAATTTGTGTGATCAATTAAGTAGGGCTGGCCATGCAGGCTGACATATATCAATATGCTTTTTCTAAGCATATTGTGGATATCGTCAGTACTTCTAGCACAATGACCAACGTGTTTCCTTACAAAGAGAGTATAACTGGTCCCGTTTAACTGGACATAGAATAAAATCTGTTCACATAGTTTTTAATAGTAGTTCTAATGTAATGTGGGATCACTGTTCCTTTTCTCTCTGTTAAACCTTATTAACAATAAATATTGTGATATCGCATTGCGAAATTGATTGCTCACCAAGAAATGTAAATAGTTCTGGTCCAAAATAATGGGTAACAATTTACATTAAAAGCTATAAATTACTACAGGGCCACAAAAAAGAAACAAATGGTAAAGAAACAGGAAGAAAGACGTACTCTATGGTCAAAATGTAAGCATAATAACACAACCGAAAGATTTCCGCGGTTATTTCTTTTTATGAGCCAGTGCACTTATCAGTCCATTAGCACTGTCATAACAAGCAGTTAGCAAACATGTAATGAGTGCAAGCCTATCTTTAACGGTGTCACATCAGTGGTTCAATTTTCCACAATTTTCAACTTACCCCAGAAAATTTAGCTATTTTAGTTTAAAACTAGAGCTGTGAATATGGTGTTGCTAAGAAACACTAGAAGTCAATGGTCACCCAAATCTTTGCCATAAATTCACCCCAAAACTTGCCTCAATCTGCTCAAACTCCATCCAGATCTGCATTAAGGTCATGCAGATTTAATGTGGTTTTGGATAAACTGTAAAAAAATTTCACTGTGAGCTGTAATCTAGCATCCATACCTCTATGTGATGTGCATGCATGCGAAGGGGACAGTTCACAGCAAGTCATACTGTGCACTAAACCACATCAACAAGACTGTGCAACCTTAATGCAGACCGGTATGGATGGGTTGAGAAAGTTCTGTGTTTACAGAAAAGATTTAGGTGCCTATTGACTTCTAGTGTTTGTTAGCAATGTTATCCTCGTAGCTCCAGTTTTAAACTAAAGAATCAAAAATTTGGACACCCAACATGTCTCTGCTGATCACCTAAATCTGGGATAAGTGGAAAACTGTAGATTTGATTTTTCACCGAACCACTCCTTTAATATACTGCAAAACAAACTAAGATCTGTAGCAATACAATCACAATACGTCCATATCGCACAGTCTTACCGATGCAGTCTGGGCCGTGCTGTGCCTGCTCTCGTCATGGACGCGCTGCAACAGGTTGTCTTCAGATCGGCACTTGAATGCCATCTTCTGCAGGCTCTGAACACGGAAATGGACCGGTGGCCGCCGCCTGGGCTTCAGCCGGTGGGCCACTGAGAGCCGAGAGCCAAAGGAACTCCCATCGTCCTCCTCTTCCTCTTCTCCTTCTTCCTCACCCTCTTCTTGAGCAGTCACATCCGCTGCCTGTGCGGTTCCCTCTTCCTCATTCGCCTTTCCCCCATCTCCCTCAATCTCAGGTTCTATGTCCTCCTCCGTGCTCTCCCCTTCACTGGCAGCTGCCCGGCTATGCAGCTCCAGAAGGGACTCGGGTGAGAGCGTGCCGTAGGCACTGTCCATGGAGAGAGAGCGGCATTGTGGGTCCGGCTCAGAGCCCTCCAGAGGGTCAGCCTCCACAGCGGCCCGGGACCTGCTGAGGTTCAGAAATGCTGGGGAAAGTTGATGGGGCTTCATCAGTGGGCCCCCCAGGGTCAGCTTGCAGAATGGGAGGGTCTGAGGACGCTCCAGAGTCCTCCATTTCCACCACAGACAGTGTCTCTGTTGAGCCGTCTGAGTTTCTGGGGGAAAAATGGGGTATGTAAGTGCATGTATACAACATAAAGATATTTATTAAATTAAATCTATTTATTAAATACTCATTTTTTACTTTTTTGCAGTCATCCCTTGTACTGTGTGTTAAAAGTTCATGATAAACGGACCAACAGAAGTTGCCATTTTGGAAATACATGGTTTTGTTGTGACAGCTGATCTAGTAAAAGGACCAATTGATATTACACTGCAGCGCAGCGAAACACTATCAACTGTTGGCCACTTTGCAGGCATGTTGTTCTGAGTTACTTGTAAGCTAGTTTTAAAAAAAAGACTGGACATGTTTTCAACATCCGTTAACTGGAAAAGATTTAGTGTGCAAAGTTTCAAACAGATGAACACAAGCATACCCTGCATTATACTGTTCCTTGTTTCTGAGGCGTGGGGAGCTGGCAGTGGAGTTACAGCTCTCCTCTCCACCTTCATCCTCTTCTTCCTCCTCTAGTCTCTGTTTCAGTCCAGCTTGCCGCCGACGAGCCTCTTCCGAGCGCAGTCGCTGGAGCTTTTTCTGAAAAACAAACATCCACAATCAGGACATCTGTAATTCATCTCCTCCTCTAATTTAATTCTCAACAATAATAGCACTTAATTTGCAAAGAAAACGCATAGGCTGTTATAATGGAAGTCTACAGAGTTTAGTGGTTGAAAGCACAAACCTGCGCACTGCAAATTTTATCTATCCAGCTTCGGCCCTGAGAGGTGCTGTTGGCCTGGAAAGAGTAGGCAGCCACAGCACTTTTGAACTCATTGAGGTAGATGAGGACAAAAGAGCCTAAGAGGAGATACAAACATCAGGGAATTAATTACACAATCAAAACATTTACATCGACAACAGTAGAATTTATCCATCTGAATATGAATATTTTGACCCCAAGTAAACATCTGCACATATTCCAAATCTATGTAAGTGATTAAACATCTTGAATTACTGTAATTCTGAGTTTTTGGTTACACTTTACTTGAAGGCTTTTCACATAGGGACTACATGCATAAGTACTGAACAATGTATGTACACGCCGTGTTGCTGTATGTTGCTGCTGGAGTTTTTGAACACCCCAGTGTCACTGTAGACCTGAGAATAGTCCACCAATCAAAAATATCCTGCCAACAGTGTCCTGTGGGCAGTGTCCATTGAGGACTAGAGGATGACTAACAAAAACTGTACACACTGATGAGCTACTGACCCTGTCTCTGACCCTGCATCTACAAAGTTTCTAATAGAGTGGACAATAAGTGGACAATGCAGTGCTGAGAATGAATCACCACCCAAATAAAACCTGCTCTGTGGTGGTCCCGACCATTGAAGAACAGGGTAACAGGGGGCTAACAACGGGAGAAACAGACAGACTAAATATATATGTATATCGCTGTTGTCTGAAGAAAACCTTGTATCTCCATTTTTGACTTTTTATAGTTTTTGACAATTTGAAAATACCTGTTACCCTTTACATTGTAAGTAAATTTCATGATGAATAGACTGGTTCCATTGACTTGTAATGTAGGTTTTTTCCTTCTCTTGTAAGTTATCATTTTGGAGATACAAGGTTTTCTTCCGACAACAGCAATATATGTACAAACACACACACGTATATATACTAACCTGGGTCTTTGAGCTCCTTGCACACAACATTATGAATGAGCAGGGGCTGTCTGATCACTTTCACTTTCTCTAACCGCTTCACTGGCTTAGTGATGAGCAGGAGGTCAGTGAATAAGAAGCAGTAAACGTCCATCTGAAGAGCACACAAGGAAGATCAATGTGAGCTTACATTGTTTTCAAACATTTAACCATCAGGATTAGAGAGATATGTAATTTAATATGTAATTTATGAGTGTTAAACCCAGGTCCCTGAAGGCTGCAGTCCTGTAGAGTTTTTGTTTTCCCCCTTCTAACATGCTAAATTCAACTCGAGGCCTCAAGGCCTTGCTAATTAGCTGACGAGCTGAATCAGGTGTGTTCAATACAGCAGCACGCTAAACTAAATTCTGCAGAGCTGTGGCCCTCCAGGACTAGAGCCTGACACCCCTGATTTAAAGGATCAGCACAACTCCTAACATAGTCCTGCTCACCCTGCTGTCTTTGCCATCTTTCATACGAAGTACCCCCTCCAGGTGGAGCTGTCTGGTCTCCTCGGGAGAGGTGTCGATCATAGGAGCTGTCAGGTCAATGTGGTTAAATTCTCTCAGTGCCTGAGAACAAGAGAGGCAGAAGAACAATTTTAATGTAGCTAACAAGCAACAGGTAATGGAAGCTTATACTAAACACATTAAGTCTAAATCATCACACTACCCAAATTGCAATCTCAAGCAGACTTTCTTTTGTGGTTTGACAATGCCATACTGTTATCTATATAAAATCAGGCTGCTACTAGAGGAACTTTGTGTAAATTTGATTTTTGCTGAATAAATTAATAACAATAGTCAATTTCAGGCCGTATTTAATGGATCCAGAGACAAATACAGTGCTCTCATTTTTCAAAAGGAATGAGTGCTTACCCTCTCCACCTCCTCACTGCCTCCCTCCACCGCCTCGTAGCTCTCTACTCGGGCCGAAATAGCTGCCAGCTTCTGCTGCTCCTGCCTCTGCTGCATCTGAGAGTCCACACTGTTGATGAAGCTCTCCACACATGCCACCTGAACAGAAAATGCACACTCTCGATCATCTCCACTCACAGAGCCCAAACAGCCTCAATTCATTTCTTATCCATTTATACACGGTTTTTAAAAGGATGCTTACCATGCTGAGGAGAGCATCTCTGGCCGCAGTGTCATCCGTTTTCTTCAGGATGGTTTTGAGCAGCAATGGGTACTTGGTCAGTCTTTGGTGAGGCTTCACCAGCATGTCGGCCAGCTTCAGCCTGTTACACTGCTTGTTGGCCTCAGCCCACTGCAAACAGGAGGGAGACACAGAACTGAATCTACAGCTTGTACAGGCCACATGCAAAAGGACATGAAATTAAACCCTTGAAAGTTGATCATTAAGACTTCCTTATCTGTAAATACTATGAATTATTTAGTACAATGAAAGTAATATGTAAGTTTATGAGAGTGAGGAACTGAAGTGTACCTTAGAGTTTAAGAGTTAGGAAAAAAAAATCTGGTTGTGACTAGAACTGCACAATACATTGTTTGTTAATCTTTACTGTAATACTGAACTTCGCAATCCTTAATATTGCAAAAGGCTGCAACACTATTGTGTACTGTCAGCATCCTGCCCAACCTCAGACTTTCCAAAGTTTCTGTGAGTGATTCAAGAATCAAGAGAGACACGTGACCCAACAAACATAGTAATTTAGATCAGCTGACATGAAGGCAATGTGTTTTTCATATATCCTGAGGCATATTTATAAAAGTGTTTTTATTGTTTGACATGAAGAAAGCTGTGGCTGGGCTGTTTGTCTTATTGTGAAGCCAGCAGGGGGTTCTCAGCCCTCCCCTTTCACTCCCCCCATTGCTCACTAGCAGCCCAACACAGACATTTCACACACAGAAAGCCAACAGTGTCCTGGTTAATCTGATTGTTTAATTTTATTTATTTATTTACTTTATTTACTATGTTTATTACAAAATATCTGAGTCGATTCCTGTTTCTTCAGCAGAATGGCCACTAGGGGGCCTGCAGAAGGAGGTTAAACCTTTTGAGGTGTAAGAACTCACCGTGATGTAGATTTTGAAGAGCTCATTGTCTCTCAGCTGTGCGCGCATGTATTCCATGCAGCTCTCCTCCTCCATGCAGTACCGCAGGTAGGGCTGGAACCTGGATGCAAACTGCACAGAGAACACAATTAGAGTTAATAACAGCATCAGAGTTATTGTATATGCACCTCTCTACCGAATTAATTCAAAATGCAGTCAAACAGTACATAAAAAAGCGATATTCTTGTAGGCTACACACAGTGTAATATACACTGTCCTTAAAAAAGTTAGCGCACATCTAGCTTTTTAATATAATTTTAATACAATGAGCCTCTTTTTGCCTATTTGCAATAACTTAACTGTTTACAGGTGCAAAACTAAAGAAACATCTAATAAAATCACTACATTGGGAACAACAACATACTCTATGTATTTTAACCCCGTTATGTCAGCATTCATCAGCAAGCAAGCAAACATTTTGAGTGTTTAAACCACCTTTGAGACAAAAGATTTATAATATACGCTCTTAACAATAGTTTTTAAAAGAAAATTGTCAAATCATTATTTAAAGCAGAGTGTTGCAAAATAAACCCAACATTTTAGTTAACTGCTATTATTACTTAGAAAATCAGACATTAAAAAGTCTCCAAACTTTTGACAGGCAGTGTATACCATGTGCTGTATGTGTTAGAGTTAAACTCACTGCTTGGAAGCCAAGTAGCAGGTCAGTTGGGTCCAGCAGGTTCCGGTCCCTCCGTGCTCGCTCCACCATTGGCAGCATGACCTGACTCCACAAAGCCGTGTGCACCCGCACCAGATCCTGGATGTTGCTGAAGAGCTTGGCTGGCTCCACCTCACCCAGCAACCCACAGTCCTGTAGGTTCAGCAGGCCGCAAAGAAAAAGCTACACAAAAGAGCACAAATACAGTCTCAGCACGGAGCTCCACCAGGGGGACCACTTCAACACATTATACAAATCACAAGGGAAAAAACTTTGGCTTGGAATTTCACAAGGAACTCAGACAAGTTCAGCCACATCATCATATTACTGATGCTGATTACGGTGTATCGCTTTACAGACGGCCTGAACAGAGCTGATAAGAGTGGAACAGAAATCGCTAGAGAAGACAGATGAAGAAGGACCTACATCAGTGATAACCCTGAGCTTCTTGATGTATGTTGCTTCGGTGTGAAGCAGTTCCCATATCGCCTCCTGCTGGTGGAACTGCCGCCTGCTCAGAGTCTGCAAAACATTACATCAATTAACCCAGTCAGTAACAAGAGATACATAAAACAGTACCAATATATCAAAAAGATAGTACTCTAGAATGTTGGAATCAATCCAAAGTAATTAACATAACCGTTAATGTAATAATTGCAGGTGTATGTACGTGGACGTATTTTCAGATCTAAAAAGAAAAAATAAGAAAACCTGAGTGTATTGTTCTCTTTATCTATACTGCTGTGCAAAAGTCAGAGCCCAAATTTGCCCCTTTTCAGTGTCAGGAAAAAAAGATGAAAACTATATAGCCTCAACAACTAAATATCAAACTCCAACCTTAGCCTTTATTACAGCCTCCATTCTTTTCGGGAGACCTGCTTTCATTTTTTCAAAGAAATCTTACGCCTCCAAAGTTCAGTCTTAGAAGTTTACTTCTCACAATCCAAGTAAGCCCAAACACATTCAACGATGTTGAGATTTGGACTCTGAGGTGGTCAGTCCATTGTTCTGAGAACACCAGCAGTTTTCTTTTGTTTGATTTGCGTATTGTCCTCTTTTTTGTCCATTTTCTTTCCGCAATAACAGCTTCTTGACAGCTACACATCTTTTCAGACCCATAGTGTTGAGTTGTCTTCTCACAGTGGAAGGATGGACAGAAACACCAGTGGATTTTTATAATCCGAAGCAAGAGTGGAGCTTGATTCTCTTAAATAAGAAAGGTTTAAGTACTGTTTATCTCATTTTGGTGGCATGCCATGTCTTGCATGGTTGTTAGCAATCACATTTTTTCTGTATCTTTTAATAATTTTTTGAACTTTTAAAACAGTTGGGAAACTCTTGTTTTTTTCCCCACCAATTTTCCTCTGCTTATGCAAATATTTTCTTGTTTCTAGTCTCATCAGAAATATCTCCTGAAAAATGAATAACTTGTACGTAATGGCCATTCTGAGTGTTTTTTTTTTTACAAAAACATTTCTGAACTGAATTAAATCAAATCCAAAAAAAAAAAAATCTGTAAGTGTGTGATGCATCAAAACAATTCAAAACGAATCTTACTTGAACTGAATCACTGTGAGGACAGAGCTTTACATCCCTTGTCTTTACTATATATACAAAGCGGTTGTGTTTGTGACTGTATGTAACAAAGTGCAAAAGAGAGATACCTCTGGGTTCTCCAGTAGTTGTTGCCAGCTCTCCTCTAGTGTCAGGTTGGGTTCCTCTTCCTCCTCCTCCCAGGAGTCATGGTGGAAGGAGAGCTGGGGAGGTACCTTAGGCATGCCATGGTAGGTGTACATCTGCAGCCTATTATTCAGCTGCTCTACACGGTCCACCTCCTGCCACAGGCACATACAGAGAGGAGTTACACACTGTATACACTAAACAAAAAAAATTTTGTCTATGCAATCCATCAAACTTTTCAAACACTAGGGTCCATCTCATTAATGTGTTAAGGCGGCTGACTGTCTGGCTGTTCATAAGAAGACAAAGCCTCTGCGGTTTTACGATCCCTTCAACTCCGGCCCTTCCATTTAACACACTGATAAATTCCATCCCTCCGTGACTGCGCTCTTCTGGGGACTTGTGGCTAATTACGCAACTGCCTTGGCTCTGAGAGCCAAAGGTACTTACAAAAACGAGCCATTTGAACCGAGCGCTCTTGGACAATAGCATGTAGAAACGAAGCCAATAAGCTGACCTAATGTGGTCTGTTGAGTGGGTGGGGGGGTTGGGCATCCATTTGGCCCTGGTTAACCCCTGCTTTGAGGGGGCAGGGGCCTCAGGTCCCACTGGGATGTGAGGCCAGTGCCCTGTATGGTCTCTCTGGGCTTGGGCAAAGGCACATGCAAAGAGAGTGACAGAGAATAAGCCCAAAGTGACAGATGAGTGACAGCTACTGCCTCAGAACTACTGTCTTGTCACATCTGCTGCAAGACTGTGCCTGACCCTCAGAGGAAAACAGGGCAGGAAGCACAGTGTCAGAAAAACAAACAAACAAAAAAAAACACAAGCAGCAGATTTACGAGAAACTGAAACATCCTCCACCGCTCCTGGAAGTTATCAATCCACATACTGACATGACATCATCTCTTGTTTCACTTTCTGTTCATTATTACTTATCTAGGCTTTAGGGGAAACTTTAGCCTTCAGGAAGCTGGTTCTTTATGTCCTTGGAGTTTCCCGCTAGCTGTGTGGATTGATGAAAATTGTACAGGATGGTGAAATAGCGCTGGCAAGGAGTACGGCTGAACCAATATAGGAATGGCAGGCCGATGCGGATATATGATACTTTTGATACTACTACTGATACTACTGCCGGTGCTGAAAGACAAACATTAATAAAATGCAGAGGCTGAGAATACATCTACCTGGATTAACCCTACAGAGAAACATAACATTTTGGCGCTGTCAGAACAAAAACCTGTATCTCCAAAACGGTAACTGTACAGGAGAAAGAACAAACATTCTTTCAAGCAACAAGAGTTATGTACCCTCTGTTAGCCCCCTTGCCATGACAATTTAACAACATAAAGAACTGTGTAAAAACAGTAAAAACTGAGATAAACAAGGTTTGTGCCTGAGAAGGGGCAATTTATTTCTGTAAGGTTACAAATGTAATTCGCATTTTAGCTAATTTAAAATCATGGCTAAAAAGCAATCAAGAATGTCATCATAGTATGTAAATCATTTTAACAGCTGGCATGATGTTTTAGATGTTGTCCTATTACCGTTTTATGTAACTTTATGTCTTTGTCCTTTTGTACCTGCCCAGGGACTTCAGTTGAAAATTCTGTTACATTAAAGAGAGCATCCTATCCAGCCAATGGCCAATTATGCTCTCCTGGACTCATGTCCATGTTTGGCTGTTGAATCTCTGGGGATCAAACTCACAATCTTCCAATGATGGTGCTAACATTTAGACCATTGTGCCATCCAGCGTTAAACAAAGTGTGACCTTGCCAGTAGATCACACTTAGCTTTGTATATACGTGCATATGTTCTTGGCAAAGAGAAAGTTTTAGTATGAATGCTGGTGCTTGTTCTCTCTTCTACTAAAGGGAGGAGATGCACTTCGCACCACATTCAGATTCCCTTAGACTACGAAAGTGGATCCTCACCTTGCCAGAGCCGGGGAAGAAGAAGCCGCTGAAGCGGCTGGCAGCACGGTTCTTGCGGTTATCGAATCCGGGAGGCATGGCGGGTAGAGAACCCCCCAGCTGGGCCAGAGAGTCGGGTGACGGGATGTTGGCATCGCCTAAGAACTCCGTCATGTTCTTTCTCCGACGCGCCTGACCCTGTGAGAGAGAGAGAGAGAGAGAGAGAGAGAGAGAGAGAGAGAGAGAGAGAGAGAGAGAGAGATCGTTTTATGAGCCTATTATTTTAGGGCCATAAGGAGGCAATAATGAAAGTTTACAAACAAGAAATGAGGGGTTTTTGCTGTGTTTTGAGAGTGATGACGACATAGAAAATGATAACATACACTGACAAAAGGATATCAAATGTGCTTCAGGGAATACTAGTAGGGGGAATAGAGGACAGAAAGAGAGGGAGAGAGAAAGAAACGCAAACAGAAAGAACAATAGTACAAAAGCAACAGGAAGGAGAGAAAATGATAAGCCATAGAGTGGGAATATGCAGAAGAGAGAAATATTTATTCTACTCTTAAGGGGCAATTCAGATGGTGATCAACATATGGTAAAAGGGAGGGGGATCTAGTAAACAATGACATCAGCCATGCTACGATATCATAATAGCAGCAACACAGCATCATCCTGGCACGCAGCATAATACGCAAGCTCTGGATATACTGTATTTTCCTCATTACATCACCTTCAGCAGGGAAATTTGGATCCTGAGACAAACTGCCTGTAGTCGTCCATTGTCTCTTGAAGTACAGTTTCCTATCAGAAAGCATGGTCGTGCGTCATGCACACGTCCAAGTCTTAATCTACTTTATTAGTTCTAGTAAGCTGAACAAACACATGGGACTGTGGTTTCTAGGGAAGCAGTGGCCATTGTCATCCAATCTCCCAAGCGGCCAGCGAGACGAGCTGTTGACCTCTCACAGAGTTTGTGGAATGCCACTGCCCTGAGTGATGTCCGCTGCTAATGACTTCTGAACATTCCAAGGAGGACTCCGGCAGTTTTGAGGGTGAGAGTACAAAACAGGAAACCAGCCAAGGTCCAAAACAACACCTTCAGAATGGAATGAGGCTCATTCACATCAAGGCAGTCTGAGTCTGGTCCTGGTGATCTACCATTCTGAAGGGTTTAGTTATGAACCTACTCTGTAACACCTTAACCAGTCAATCAATGCCTCCGAGTATTAGAGCCAGGTAAATTGGTGAGTACTCTCCAGGGCTGGAGATCACCAGAACCAGACCTGAGCACCCTGATTTACATCATGGGACATACACAATGCAAACTTTTTTGCCTACAGTTCTCATACAGCTTGCAGCTCAGAGACTGATGGCAATAATAAGCGGAATGAATTGGATCTGAATGATAAATACAGCATCTACCTGTTCAGGGGCCTCAGCAAAACAGCCTGAGCAGCTGTGGCGATTCAAACCACTGTATTTAACTCGCAGAGTGAAGAAATGTTTTCTTTCATTTTCAATAAGAATTCTCTGTGAGGGTCTTTCCACAGACCACACTAGTCATTATGAGTCCAGCCATGCTGAAATCTATACTCGCCCCCCTGTGAATCCTTTGTCTCAAGAATGACCCATTTGAAAAAGTCATTCTTGTCAACGAACTCAGCCAGTGAGAACTTTGGTGAAAGCAAGAGCAACACACAAGTGACCTGCTAAAACTGCATTCTAAATTTAGCCTTGCAGAACTGGGGCGTCAGAGGCGGGCAGCACTGTGGCTTTGATGAGGGGGATTTCTGCGGAATCTGGGGTGAGAGGACAAGGATACAGATGGCAGGAAGAGTCCCAACTCCCAAGGAGGACGGAGAGGAAGGACCACTGATGAGCAGGCAATGTCAATACTCCAGAGGTTCCAAACTGTGGATCTGGAGTAGATCTGCTCTGTATTTTCTGGTGCTTTCCCTGCGCATGATCCAACTGGAGTTGAAGTGGGGGGTGTTAGAATAGGGAAAAAACTAAAATGTGCAGGGGAGGGATACTTCAGGACTTTGGGATATCTGGCTTACTTCATCTGCCCAAGGTACTATGCTGCTGCTTGCTTAAAGACATAATACACCACCAGTGCACATAGTCAACAGATACTGCACCTAATATAGCCATAAAACTATTAAGTACACCATTTACTGTCTATTCATTTAGATGAGAAGGGCTTTGAAATGTGTCAAATGAAAGAATACAATCATCCAGCGTTATAAAAATCAGAACCATTTGAAAACTGTTCGCAGGCAAGCAAGACGTCAGCAATCAAAGATGAAAGGAAGTTATCTGCCATATCATAACAGTGGGCTACTGTAGCAGGATATGACTGTAATCAGTGCTGTACAAGTCCAAAGTTTTCACTTTCTACCCAACTCCAGAAGAACTGAATGACTACTAGTAGACCCAGTAACCAAGAAAATTAGCTATACTCACCATGGAAGCAAGTGGCATGTCAAAAGTGAGGAAGACCATTGTAATCCTTCAACTGGCTTCGCAGAGCCTGGCCCATACCAGAGCCAGCTGTTGCTCTCTCTCAGCCCTCCTTTACCTCTCTCGCTTTCACACACTCTCACACACAGCAACTAATATGTGCGTATTGTGACACCACAGCAGAGGATGGAGGCTCACGAGAAAATAGAAAATATGTGGCAAGCTCGATCTTTCCAGTTCAAACAGTCACTCGTGTATTTTTTTGTTTTAGATGGGAGTTCCTCAGGGCTCACAAACAGGACCACTTCAGATCTCTGTACGTCTTGTCCTGTAATGTTCCTCTGCCTGTCCAGCACTGTGAGGTGAAGTGAGCCAACAGAGGCTGCTCGTCTGCATTACTAAGGAGGACTGACCTAACGTCATGGCAACAAGAAGGATCCTGTCCCATTGTGTGAGGTCAGGAAGAAAGAGGTGTGGCTAGGGAAAGGCAGAAGGCTAATCTGCATATGTAGGCAGACCCTTGGGACAGCTTGCAAAACCCCAACAAAAGAGTTTGGTACCTCAAAGATGCCAACTGTTTGTTTGGAGACTTGTCTATTGTTTTAACTCCTTGGACAATCACTTTCTCCCTTTCCTCTCCAAGTCAAATGGGATTCATTTCTAATTGCAGAGGACCACTGACCTCCCTTAATTAACAAATGCACTCATAGTTGTACTCAGAGCACTTGTTTAAATAACATGTGTATTCCATAATAAACATCATAAATCTGTATGTACTAAAAAATGTTGTTACCTCCTGGATTATACAAAAGCCATATCTGCCATTTTATCTACTCTGTTACTTCAATAACATGGTCTCTGGATGCTGCTGTTGTGTTTATTTGATATGCAAAGAATGTTATATAACAAAACAGAAAATTTTTATTTAGTTTTATTTAGTTTGTCTTGTCTTTTACCCATTTTGAACAAGAAAACACATTAATAAGAATATAAGTCATACATGCGTCATGTTTTATCACTACTTTGATTAAACAAGCCAAAAATATAAACATGCTTGTGTTTCTGGTCAGGTAAAGGTTTAACAGATCACACTTTAACAGTTTATAAATTGCTATGTGTTAAAATATTGATATGTCTAAAGCCTACAGTGTTCGGTTAGCCTGAAGGCTACTGTAAATTGGTAAAATGAGACGCTAAAATTGATAAAAGATTTAAACAGCAACTTCCTTTTCTTTGGGCTCCGTACTGGGCTCTTCAGTTTCATGTGGTTAAAGTTTTCACAAAATATTCCTAATATTCCTAAACTGACAATCTTATCTAAGGGCTTAAAAAGACACCTAGTCATACATTTTACAAGTAATAAACACTCAATTACCAGTATTCTAGTTGTGCATACACATTTCACACATAGAAGCTACAAGTATGCAGTTACTGAGTTCATATAAAATATGATGAATGAAGCTACATCAAACAAGCTCACAGCCTACGCTGGCATTCGAGCTTTCCTGTTCTGTAAAAACGAAAGCAAATTTTCTTTGTTTATGTGTGTATATATACACATGGGCAGACCATTTCCCAATCTCTCAGAGCCTCTCTCTACAGGGAAATGACCGATGGGAATCAAGACGGGGGAAATCCCAAACTACAGCACGTGCTTGAGGCTGATACCAGCACCTAATCTAATGCTTTGCCAGAACATTGAACTAACATTGTGTATTTTACCTCTCTCTAATGTCAGGGTTCACTGATTTGGAACGATTTCCAGACAAAGACGCACCACCACTTCCTCAAAGCATCAGAAGGTACTTTACTCTGTTGAGGCTTGTAGGCAGGTCCCTGTCAGGTATCAAAATACAGTAAGAGTCTATTTGTGCACATATTCACATGTGGGCAAACAAACTATAACCCAAACCTACAGGCTGAACAGAATATACATTGATATTTGCGGCATCTTCTTCAATTACCTGGTAGGTCATGTGGAAACACCACAATGAACCACTGAAAGACAAGAAAATAAACACAACATGTAAGCTGATTTTGTTGTAGTTATGGCTTGATGGGTCTTGCTCTAGGCCTAATGAATCATACTTTAACAGCCTATAAATTGGTTCTTGTAAAGGTAATAATGTAGCTAAAGCTTATTGTGTTAAGGTAGCCTACAGGCTACTGTTATTGTAGCCTATTAAAAATCTCAGCCTCATCACATCCTAAGCCTATTATTCAGTAAATTGCATGGACTACAACTAGAATTATTTATTACAACAAGAATTAATTATTCTTAAGTTACAGAAGTGTGTAATAGAAGCTTGGACCCACTAGCAGGTCCTGGCCATGTAAGGGTATGATGTTATTAGACTTTAGGCTGGCCTATATTGAATAGTCTTTAATGCAACTACAGCATCAAAACCATTTAAACCCCCATTCAGGGTTTTGTGTCCAAAAACGTTGCATGCACTGAAGGGTACAGTCTGACTTTCTGTTCAGCAACTGATGTTATTAGGATTCCACTGATATCAATGAATAGTTTGAATTGTATGAAATTAAGTGAACCTTCCAATCAGGTGAACCCTACAAAGAACCTGATATAATTAAATAAAATGCACCCAACTGATAACAAGTCTCAGGCACTTTATGCCAACCAGATAAACTCTTATTAGGATTTGCACTGTTAAAGCTTTTTGTTATAAAATTTGATAAGATGTATGAATAAACTGGTATACAGATGAACCAAC